TTGTAAGGAGGGATTAGTAGGCAGGTTTAAGACAGAGGAGAGTTTGTAGGGAGGGATTAGTAGACAGGTTTAAGACAGAGGAGAGGTCGTAGGGAGGGATTAGTAGGCAGGTGTTGACAGAGGAAAGTTTGTAGGGAGGGATTAGTAGGCAGGTTTAAGACAGAGAAGAGTTTGTAGGGAGGGATTGGTAGACAAGTTTAAGACAGAGGAGAATTTGTAGGGAGGGATTAGTAAACAGGTTTAAGACAGAGAAGATTTTGTAGGGAGGGATTGGTAGACAAGTTTAAGACAGAGGAGAGGTCGTAGGGAGGGATTAGTAGTTATTTAGGATGATATAGGATGAGTTGTAAGAAGTGATTGTAGGAAGGGCTTCAGTGTTATTGGGTTCAGGTGAAGGGCTTGTAGAGGAGAAGTGGTATGAAAACTTATAGAGGAGATATATAGGGAACATATAGTAGTGGATGGTGTGAAGGACGCATTAATTGGGAGAGCGGTTTTAGGGGACAAGTTTTAGGTAGGCCTTGTTGAGGAGAGGATCTATGTGGAGAAGCTGACGGATGGTGAGGTAAGGGGAGATGATGTAGGAACACGGCTAAAAGGGGACGGATGAAGATTGTAGCATCCTGGTTCTAAAGGACAAGGAGGGTTTGGGCTTTAGAGGGAAGGGCTTCAGGTGGATAGGTGCGAGTTAGTAATCGGTAGGCAGGAAATTCAGAATATAAGGTCAGCTGGTCTATAATTTGCCACTTTGAAAGCCCAGAAATATTTTGCCTCTCAGTCACTCAATACAGATGTATATGCTTAGTCTTAGATTACCATCATTAGATATTCTCTTACCGGTTATGTTTGAGAATCACGTCACTTCAAAACCATGGAAGTCTGTTTCATTTCCACGGAGTATGAATCAGTCAACTTGAAGAGGATTTAATCATTCATTCATAAATCGCCGTTGTCTAAGACAGGGCTTTATGGGTAATTCCGTCTCGTGAGATTGTGTGTAAGTGATTTCGTGAGACACTCCTAAACTGATCGTTTGTTACACATGTGAACTTACTTTTGATGTTGTTGTTTGTTGTTTCTCGTTTTTATGTATATTTATACTTAATCGAACAGTCAACGGATTACATTCAATAAGGTCCCTCCTTGTAGTAGGTGTTTCATACCATACTCTTTTCTATTGTATTATGTTGATCACTTACTTCTTTAATTAATATTCTCGGAATATATACTTTGTTTACAGAGTTATTGCCCTTTGTCTATTTGAAGATAAATAGTAACTTTTCCCTTGTTATACGCCAAATGATATGCCATATACTAATACATTTGTGATGAAATACTACAAATAGTTGAAATATTGATGAGAGATCTACAAATCTTTTGAAGTGCAATATACATATACAATGTTTACTTATAATAAAACGTATCTGAAATTTCTCACAGCCTCGGAGCAAAAGCTGTGGGTTCGATTCCCGACAGAGGTACATTATATATAGCTACTCAGTCCCTGGTTATTACATTTATCGTCTTCGTGATCACATCATACCCTTCGTGTTCATTGTACACATGACTCGTAATTTTATCTTACATACTTACATATATTGTATGTGCCTCAGAAAAAATATCACTTACCAGTTTCGTATATATACCATATTGTAGAATTACTCTGTAGCCCCAAAACGCAAGGTTTTGTCTTTTAAGCCAAACTTATATCAGAATTTTAAATGATTGCATTTGTCCTTAAGACTTGTCTTGTGCATTCAATTTGTACTCTTACATTTGTCGATCTGGATGGGCTGTTTCGATCGATAATGCCAGCTAATTGAACACAACACCATGTTAACGCTTTCAGGGCTTTTCAGATGTATTCCAATGTATTTTAAACGATATATCTTACTTATATATATACTATATCAGTATCTACAGTCAGTGAAAAGTGTTATACTCAACGTATCTGTTTAATAAAAAATACAGCTCATAAAACATAGGTTAGGCTATTTATATGTTCTAAAGAAATATCCATTGCCATTTGAACTGTCATTCCGATTCCTTTGGCAAGGTGGGTGGCAACAAGGATGTCTTTACCTGAATTGAATTGACCTACTTTTAAGTTCCGGTTTATGTATTGATGAACAGTCACATTATGGAGAACCGTGACGTTCTCGTGGATGTTTAAACATGTTGATTGTTTATTCGTTTCTGTTTTGTCCTTAGATGGACCGGTACATAACTAACCACATCTGTCATTTCATAGAGTGTAACACTAAAACAATATAAATATTTCAGGTCTCGAGTGTACGCGTTGTACTGGCCGCTTATGCTATTATCTGTCTGTCGCTTATGGCATTGCTCATAACATGAAAAGAGCGGAAGCTTTCCACACATAACGTGCTGTGTATAAGCGCGGATTATCAATAACAATTTGTACTTTTGATATTTGCATACGTAAAGTTCCGATGTATCCCGAGGGTGAATGTTTAGAATTCTCTGGGGTTTTCGAACTGCCGTCGGAGGCAGATGCCATGTTACGAAGTTAGGCCAAAATAAACGAGCTGTTACATTTTACACCCCTGTAGCATGAATAGATTACGAGATTTTACGATGCGTTTAATGCATAATAAAACGCTCAGTTAAGTTGCAAAATGTTGGCTTTAATTGACGATAGTGTCGTGTGGGCTATGTTTCAACTTAGGCTTAACATGTGTCTCTCCGTCTTTGCAGACAAGAGGACGTAAGATACAACAAGACTTAATTTCGTACACCAAGACACCTTACTGTTTTGAGGTTAGTTTGTAATCTGAACATTCTAATATCAAGATACATAAATCCTTCAACTGCAGTTCCTTCATATTGATATTTTTTTCACTACCATCCACAAAATGGACAGCATTTAATTTGTACGGAATACAAAAGAGTCAGTGTCATTTTAATGCTTCTCCCGTCATGCATTATTATGTATGTGATAAGCAAACTTGCATGTAACGTTAAACTGTCAGGATTGTTAGTTGTACATACCTTTCTATATAAATACACATTTCCTTTCAATCTCTGAAACTCTTATACGTTTACAACGCTATGTTACGTTTCCAACCATGTTGCGTAACCAACGCTAAGTTACGTATTTACAACTTCGCTACGTATCTTTCGCTTAGATATATATATAAATTCACAGCTTGGTTACATGTACGTATCTAACGTTAAGTTACATACTCACCAGTTCACTACCTATCTAGCGCTAAATTACTTATTAACTTATAGGATACGTATTTACCACTAAATTACACGCAAATATTTAACACTAAGCTACATATTCAACGTATCTAACGCTTATCACGAATTTTAGGCTAAGTTACGTTTCCAACGTTAAGCTATGTATCCAACACTAGGTTCCGTATTCAGCGCTGTGTTACGTAACTGACGCTTTAGTACTAGCGAACATGCTGACAGCATGTCCTTAATGCATTTTTAACAGCAACGATGTGTTAGCGTTATCGTCTCCCGGCCATGACTGTGTAGACGAACTCCCATCTCAACCCTAACAATCTTTGTTTCCCCGCCTAATTCTTTGAATTACACTTCCAAGTCTTTCTGGCATCGCCAGCACCAACACGAACCGTTGGCCTATATAAATATTATGAAAATATCTAATTGGATGAAACTGAGTTGTATATGCATCGCCAGAAGGCAGTCGAACTCCTGTCTGGTGAGGAGAGATTGCTGTGAGGCAGTAATACACACACACACACATACATATACCGTGTCATCGCTAGGATTTATCGATTACCTTTGCAGAATACATCAACAACAATCAAAACGAGGCACAGATTATCAGATTTTTATACACGTCGAATTAAATAATCGTATGGTCACAGTTGGCAGAATCTCCTCGTGTTCGACGTGTGTCTCGTTCGATACCTTATAAGAATGTGAAATGTATCCAGTTATATAAAGAGGTACTTCATCAATATGCATACTTTTGAATAATTAATTGGCTTTTTTCCGTTATGGAAAGTAAAGTAGTTTATAATGGGTACATAAATGTTTTGATACTATATTTTGGTATTTTATGGGAAAATATTAAACAAACATTTCCATGACAAGACCTATTTTACATTACGAACGCTTGCACATTACACTTCCTATCAACTGTTTGAAAACGTACCAGATGTAATATCACATAAGCGTTTCCTTGATAAAGATTTTTACGAAAAATCTACATTGATGTATTTTACCAAACATTAAACTGATAGAGACGATCAACATTTTCATTATCAAGGTCATTGAAAGCCATAATAGCAAACAACGTTATTTCTGTCGTGTTATTGCCTAGTAGGTGTAATCACACTTTTCAGAGGTCAAAGCCGATGAAATGTTTGAAACGGAAGAGTACTTGTGTTATTGCCTTATGTTCGGGAGTTTCTTTCCTATGTTACTGAATAAAACAATGTTTAAAGCAAGTAAGGTTATAAAGATATGAAGTTTATTTGATTCTGTCTTTTTTGTATCGATAGACTTATTAAATGTGCGTTATGAGATGTAATATTAAACGGTATGTTTTTCACATCCATTCTTGCTTTGGTTCAGGGTCGAAGGTTTGATACTCTTTAGAGAGTTTAGATATTATTTGTTGCTTTCGGTAAGTGTGCATAAAATTTAGACAGTGTCTAATGATAGAGCTGATGTCGGACGTTTTTATAGCGTCATCTAACTGAAATGTCATAACCTGGACAGCGTAGCATGACAAACCATTCGATCATTGTATACCGATAACAGACTAATTAGTCCTCAATACCAGTTCATTAAACCTAAACAACCAGTAGGGAACAGTATGAATTAAATCTATAGACTTCGATGTGGCTCGTTTAGGTGAGATGATGCTTAACACTTAGGCGTGAAAACAGATGCATGGAAAAAATCATTTTTGCAGGCCTTTTTTAATCGAGAACATTTTTCCATAAAGAACGACAAATATGAAAGTGGTGGTCTCGTTATCAGGGAAATTTTCAACAGTAGAGGGAAAGCATGTATGGGTGTCGGGATCTGCACAGTGTCGGGAATATAACACTGTGGAAGAGGTGTGTCGTCATGCTGTTGGTGTCAGGAAGATCCTTCTGTGTTACAGGGCGAGTGTGTAGGTGTGTTGTGATGCTGTTGGTGTCGGGAACATCCTTCTGTGTTACAGGGCGAGTGTGTAGGTGTGTTGTGATGCTGTTGGTGTCGGAAACATCCTTTTGTGGTAGAGGACGAGTGTGTAGGTGTGTTGTGATGCTGTTGGTGTCGGGAACATCCTTCTGTGTTACAGGGCGAGTGTGTAGGTGTGTTGTGATACTGTTGGTGTCGGGAACATCCTTCTGTGTTACAGGGCGAGTGTGTCGGTGTGTTGTGATGCTGTTGGTGTCGGGAACATCCTTCTGTGGAAGAGGACGAGTGTGTAGGTGTGTTGTGATACTGTTGGTGTCGGGAACATCCTTCTGTGGAAGAGGACGAGTGTGTAGGTGTGTTGTGATGCTGTTGGTGTCAGGAACATCCTTCAGTGGTAGATGGCGAGTGTGTAGGTGTGTTGTTATGCTGTTGGTGTCGGGAACATCCTCCTGTGGTAGAGGGCGAGTGTGTCGGTGTGTTGTTATCCTTTCGGTGTCGGGAACATCCTTCTGTGGTAGAGGGCGAGTGTGTAGGTGTGTTGTCATCCTTTCGGTGTCGGGAACATCCTTCTGTGTTAGAGGGCGAGTGTGTAGGTGTGTTGTGATGCTGTTGGTGTCAGGAACATCCTTCTGTGGTAGAGGACGAGTGTGTAGGTGTGTTGTGATGCTGTTGGTGTCGGGAACATCCTTCTGTGGTAGAGGACTAGTGTGTAGATGTGTTATGATGCTGTTGGTGTCGGGAACATCCTTCTGTGGTAGAGGACGAGTGTGTAGGTGTGTTGTGATCCTTTCGGTGTCGGGAACATCCTTCTGTGTTAGAGGGCGAGTGTGTCGGTGTGTTGTGATGCTGTTGGTGTCAGGAACATCCTTCAGTGGTAGAGGGCGAGTGTGTAGGTGTGTTGTGATGCTGTTGGTGTCGGGAACATCCTTCTGTGGTAGAGGGCGAGTGTGTAGGTGTGTTGTGATGCTGTTGGTGTTGGGAACATTCTTCTGTGGTAGAGGACGAGTGTGTAGGTGTGTTGTGATCCTTTCGGTGTCGGGAACATCCTTCTGTGTTAGAGGGCGAGTGTGTCGGTGTGTTGTGATGCTGTTGGTGTCAGGAACATCCTTCAGTGGTAGAGGGCGAGTGTGTAGGTGTGTTGTGATACTGTTGGTGTCAGGAACATCCTTCAGTGGTAGAGGACGAGTGTGTAGGTGTGTTGTGATCCTTTCGGTGTCGGAAACATCCTTCTGTGTTAGAGGGCGAGTGTGTCGGTGTTTTGTGATACTGTTGGTGTCGGGAACATCCTTCTGTGGTAGTGGGGGAGTGTGTAGGTACATTGCGTGGCCTCAAAACCGGAAACATTCATTTGAAGACTGTAATAGTGGGCGAGTCTGCAGGTGTGTTGTGATCCTTTCGGTGTCGGGATTGTCCTTCGATCATAGTGGGCGAGTGTGTAGGTACATTGCGTGGTCTCAATATCGGAAACGTTAATTTGAAGACAGTAGTAGTGGGCGAGTCTGCAGGTGTGTTGTGATCCTTTCAGTGTCGGGATTGTCCTTCGATCATAGTGGGCGAGTGTGTAGGTACATTGCGTGGTCTCAATATCGGAAACGTTAATTTGAAGACAGTAGTAGTGGGCGAGTCTGCAGGTGTGTTGTGATCCTTTCGGTGTCGGGATTGTCCTCAGATCATATTGAGCAAGTGTGTAGGTACATTGTGTGGTCTCAATATCGGAAACATTCCTTTGAAGACTGTAGTAGTGTGCGAATGTGTAGGTGTTTCGAGGTCCTTTTGGCATCGAGAATATCCTTCCGTAGTACACCATGAAACTATTCTCTGTCAACCTTCGCCGAAATAACCCTCAAATGCATTGAATAATTGATACTCCAGTTCTCGCAATCGATCCACAGGCCTGCCCAGCCTTGTCAGTTCAGCAATTTGTAAGTCTGGGCAATTAGGGTTGTACTATGCAGGCGACTTCAGCCTAGTTTCAGGGCCTTCACAACTTTCAAACACTTGTTGTTTTTTGCCCGATCTTCTCTTTCAAACAATACAAATAAATCAGTTAAGAGAATCGTTTGGAAAGTCAATCTTCAGACGTGGTGGTGTCATTTTGGGTTTGTCAGTTGCAGAAACAGCTTTGATGGGAATATTGTTCAGTTTCATGTTGGTATGAAAGAAAAGCTCATTTGCAAACTGATGTCAATCTTTGATCCAATTCTCAAGGTCGTCGGATATATCAGTGCAGCAGCTGTCAATCTCTGATCCAATTCTCAAGGTCGTCGGATATATCAGTTCAGCAGATGTCAATCTTTGATCCAATTCTCAAGGTCGTCGGATATATCAGTTCAGATGTCAATCTTTGATCCAGTTCTCAAGGACGTCGGATATATCAGTTCAGCAGATGTCAATCTTTGATCCAATTCTCAAGGTCGTCGGATATATCAGTTCAGATGTCAATCTTTGATCCAATTCTCAAGGACGTCGGATATATCAGTTCAGCAGATGTCAATCTTTTATACCAATGCCATTTTTTTCGATCCAGTTGTCAAGCCTGTTCGTGTGTTGTTGTCAGCCCTAGAATAAATTGTCGATACTTTTTATGGAACCCGTCAAAGGATTTGCGTGTTAGAATGAAAAATTTCGGGTGTATGAGCTGATGTTATATACGTCTTTGTCTATTGAATGACCAGGGTAGAGATGATATCAACAAACACACACACACTCTCTAAATTATTCCGCTAATTTCTTGGATACAATCTCTTCCGTTGGCAATATAACGATAAAACGATGGCTTTCTGACTGCTGATAGACATCATAGGACGTTTTGGGTGAGAGCCATTACGTTGTAGGTGCCTTGGGAATTTTAGCTACGTTGCTAACTGGATACGGAATCCCTATTTCTCCATCGGTGTCATCTGACAATTGTACATAAAACAATAATTACATGTAGTATGTACTTTAGGTCAAAGTCACTTATAAAAAGTATAAAAGACATATCTAGACTCCAAAGTTAGGTACATAGCTGATAGTTTCAATATCTGTATATAAGGAGGATGTAGTTTGTATGTTCATTGATATTACCGATTTCATGAAAGACCAACGAATTATTAAAAGTATATCTCCCGCGGAAATATGTGCGTTATATTATATTGTAGATTTATAATTGCACAAATGCTACGTTTAAAGCGTTTTAGAGATTTTTCAAATTTGATTCGTTTAAATCACTAGTTTAATGGTAGAATAAATGCTTTGTTAAAGTACACCCTGGTTATATATTTGTGTGTTTATCGCACTGAGTGATAGAACTACGGATAAAATGCCTTCTTCAAAACAGACGTAAATTTCGTTAATAAAATTATGTAAAAATACTGTATAACAACACGTTATGGACAGATGTCGTCATTACGATAATGATATATAGATTTGCAGATCAAAATTAACATCTAGTCCGTCTCAAGTACACAGGAAAAGTGGGATACACCAGTTAGGCAACAAGTAGAACCTTGTAATAGAAACAGGAAAAGTGGGATACACGAGTTAGGCAACAAGTAGAACCTTGCAATAGAAACAGGAAAAATGGGATACACGAGTTAGGCAACAAGTAGAACCTTGTAATAGAAACAGGAAAAGTGGGATACACGAGTTAGGCAACAAGTAGATCCTTGCAATAGAAACAGGAAAAGTGGGATACACGAGTTAGGCAACAAGTAGAACCTTGCAATAGAAACAGGAAAAGTGGGATACACGAGTTAGGCAACAAGTAGAACCTTTTAATAGAAACAGGAAAAGTGGGATACACGAGTTAGGGAACAAGTAGAGCCTTGTTATGGAAACAGGAAAAGTCGGATACACGAGTTAGGCAACAAGTAGAATCTTGTAATGGATTCAGAAAAGGTGGGATACACGAATTAGGCAACAAGTAGAACCTTGCAATGAAAAATCAAATGCCAACCAATGGTATTTTCGAGGGAAGCCACGAAATAACATGGTTTTATAGTATATGTTAAGGATTGTAACATTGCATGAATTCAGACTGCTTTCTCTTGACATTTCACAGGAAAAAAATATCAATCAAATGAACAAGCTGAACGGTAGTGAACAGTAGACTGTCACGGACAATAGCTAACTCTATCTTTCTTTTTTCCGAGAACAGGCAGGTTATAACACGAACCAAGAGTTTTCATATCTTTTCTATGTGATAATATTTCATGGCAAATGATATGATTTTTTGTATGTACTTCGATGCTGTTGTCCTCCGCAGCTGGCGGTTTTACTTTTTCCTCTGCATACTTTTATTGTATTTCAATTAACTTCTTGTTTTAGTATCTCAGTCAGTAATAGCGTTGACCTACGTAATCCCAAGTGTAGATCTGAAGTATGTGTTCCAACACACCCTTGTTACTCAGGAAAATGAGCAACGAACCAGTATGTGCTTACGGATTTGTTCCAGTTAGGCAAGACACCGTGCCCTAAGTATTCAGGACGGCATGTAGCGGACTTTCCACATGTTGTTCATGGAGGAAGCTATCGGCCAATACAAGGAGCTTCCTCCGCAACATGACTCAGACTGGTCGCTGTTCACGGGGTGATGAACACAGCATCAATATACGCCAATTTCCTAGTTGGGAGAAATATAGGAAAACTTTCCGTTATTTTTTAATTTCGAAACTGTCTTTCTTGGCTGCTATCCAGGATTGAATACAATCATAGATATAACAGAGACAATCATAAAGTTTATGTTATTATTTCAGTTAAAAATACCTCTCTCTGCTTCAAGTTTTAGACAAAATCGCAAAAATTTGAATCGTCTAAAAATAATACTTTTGCAATATCTGTGCACGGCATTGACAACTGTTTACCTGCTTGTTGGAGTATGGGATATTGTCACATTTTGGTGTCATGAGTCATAGACGACCGCCGATGACTTTGTTAGGAAATGTATAGCATTCCTTTACTCGTTAACGTCATACCATTAATATTTAGGTAACCAAACTACCATACAAATGGCCATGAAGAATCTCGCTATTACAGGTTTTCGTCCTCTGGCGTAGGTCTTGGCAAAAGTGGTTTGACGCCATGTGAATTAGATATTACCTGGATAAAATTTCTAGTTATTAGCCCTTATGACTATATTTTGTGTAGGGTTGATTACCACGATATATTTCTTTATCATGCGTACAGATGTAAGGCAACAAAAACCCGTCATATCACTACGGACGATATTCTACTCTGCAGGTTTTTGCCCGTCAGAGCTGATATTGTACAGAATTATGACAAACCGAGCCAGAATTCCATCATGTCAATTAGGTTACATGGAATTACTTTGAGTTAATTAGTGTCGGTTTTACATGTGTTTCCTATGGATTCTACACGTGCATTACACGTCTCCAACAGTTTTATGTCTAATGTAGTTATCATACATGTAGAAAACTGATCCTGCGCATGTATATCGGGATACAACTTAACGAAAGAAGGGACAATTCTACGACACCTTTTATGAGGCAAAGAGTCTGTTCATTAGGGTTTACACTTCTATTTTATCTGTGAACACGTGGCCTGTGTTAGTGAAAGTCGGCAACTATCCATACTCTCCGGACACCGAGTCGGTCATCTGAATCTGGGATGACCAGTGTCTTCACAAACACTACGGGGACTGTTTGTTTATTCGTCTCGATTGAAAGTTTTGGACTCTGAAGCGTTGGGGGATCTTGCTTCTACCTGAGAGATAGAGACAGGAAAATACACCTTGCATGATTGCAATGCATCACCAGGTGGGTCTTGTCTTGGTTTGTTCCTCTTGGGAATCACTTGACGAATACATGGCAGAACGGATTTTTATTTTTGGATTGTGTTCGGTGTCGTATGTATGATAAAATGTTCCTGTATTTAAATTTTATGATTCGAAAAGAACTACGATTTATTTTTGTACAAAATCTTCAACTATTTTTAGTACAAGATGTTGATATCAATCAAGGGGGTTTAACTCGGGCGATCTATTGCGAGGCATGACTTTCATTATTTTCATATTTATAGTTAAAGATAAACTTGTTTGTGAATATTCTGGAGTCTGCTGTGTTAAGAAGAAGCTGTTTCCATACCGATGGAGCAGTGCTGTATAGGCGCTGGCGTTTGAATGAATGTATGTTATACAAGTAACTTTATTTGATTTCCACGCATTAAAAGTATATGTATAATGCAAGTAAGTATGTATCTATTTTCACGAATGACTGATTACACGTGCTGAACCCAAAGGCACGTGTAAACCCGTCTCTATATTTACATATAATTAAATGTTATCATTCTCTCGACGTGTCTTACATACATACCACATTAC